GATGAGACCAGAGGACCAGGGAAAGGTGTTCCGGGAGCTGCTTCTCCTAATGACTCATCCCCCAAAGACGTCCAACTGGGTCACCGGACGAGGCTGGGCCTGAGAGATGCCGAGAGCTGGCACTCCCAGGCCAGGCTGTCAGCCCTGGAGGAAGCCACAGCTCCAGCACAGCGCTGTGGTGGCACCGGCGAGCAGGCAGCTAAGGAAAGCTGCTTTCATTCATGCAGAGGCATCTCACTTAGCCTCGATCCCTGCCAGGGGGCCAGAGCCCATGCCAGCACCTGACAACCCCAGGTAAACGGGCCACACAGGACCTGTCCTCAAGGAGCTTAGTGAGGTTCAAGCAGGAGAGACAAACACACAACACAGTGCACGAGACGGAGTCAGCTGCCTGGGGGTCCCACTTGAGGGTGGGGCAGAGCCCGAAGCACCCGCAGCACCTACCAGTGGGCATCTACCTGCCTCTCAGGAGGAGACTGGCGTGCTCACGTGTTAGCAGAGCAGGAGAGCAGGGTAAGGACAAGCAAAGACAGGAAAACCTGTGTGGGCAGGAGTCATCAGGGCAATCTTCATGGAAGAACTGGTATTTTCAGGGTACAGTTAGGCAGAGAGCTTAAGTGGAAAGAGCAAGACACGGGCAGCTGAGGATATGCAGTGTGTGCCAGTGCGTGAGAAAGAGGCACCCTCTACTCCAGATGGCAGGGGGGATGGCAGGGGTGACAGCACAGCTCACCAAGGACAGCGGTCCCCCGCACCCCAGGTGGATGCTGAGCTCAGCCCGGCCCTCCTCCAGCCCATCCTCCAACCAGCCAGACCAGAGCGCGCCTCTTAAGGCCCTTCCAGGACTGCACTGGTCTCGGCCCGATGGCCGAATCCCTTAACTGCCTCACAGACCCAGCAGGACTGGTGACCTCGCCTCACCACTCTGCTCTCAGCTCCCACACCCCCTCAGCCACGTCCACGTCCACCCCATTCTGAATGACCTGACCTTCCTCCAGGCTTCCCAAATGCTGCTTCCTGCACCTAAAGCAGTCTCCCTTTACCTGCTCTCCCTGACGCTGCAACTACCTGGTAATGACCACTCAGTCCTAGGACCTCCTCCAGACCGGGTGTCTGCCAGCTGACAGTGCTCTGGGCCCTGGCCTACATCACTGGCCTCCCACTCTGACTGTGTTCCCACTCACTGCACCACTGAGGAATTCTGAAGGCCTAAAAGAAGAACTTGGACTTGACAGAGCTGATGCCTCAGCCCCCTAGTTGTGATACGGTGAACATAATATTCAAAGAAAGTGAACCTGGCAATATTATACACCAAGCTCTAAAAATATCAGTGCTATCTTTGGCAAACATAGAAAATACCAAGAGTAGGTGAGCATCTGCCTGGCAGGTATACATTTTTCTTCTTTTTGGATAAGAACCCCTGACTTTTCCATGGGAGGCACCCCTATTTTGGATTCTCTGTCCAGAGCTTAGTCAGAGCTGATGCCACTCTGGCTCCGTGGCAGGGCCGGCTGGCGTACCCTGTGACCCCGCACAGAAACTGAGAGGCGGGCTGGAGACCCTGGCTGGTGCGACGATGCTCACTTCCAGACCGGAGCTGGCACGGTTCAGAAGGCAGCGCCCTCTTCCCCAGGAATCGCTAAGCTGACGTGACGCAAGCCTGCGCCAGCCTGGGGATGACACCGGCACCACAGGAAGAAGGAGCAAGAGCTGGAAAGGGGCAGACGCTGCCCGCTCCTGCTGGACTCCTGGCCCCAGCCGTGGCTTAGCGGGATGGCTGCGCCCCCCACCCCATCCGGGCTTGAGGCTGCTCCAGTGGCGTGTCTGCCACTGCACCAGGAGTTCTGCCCCCCACACCAAGCTCATCAGAACTGAAGCCACAGCACAACACAACGCCAGAAAATTCTATCCGTCTGTGCACGTGCAGCTCCTAGTTCTGGGGATGTTTGAGTTGCAATTAAATGGGTCCATCGGTAAAGGTTCTGCTTGCTGGTGGTATCTGTTAGCACCACAGCTTTGCTGCTCGTCTGGCAACAAGCCACTCATGAGATGGAGCAAATGGCCTCCTGACTATTTTAGCCGGCCTCAACGAAGCCAGGGACCCCGTCTGGTAGACCACGACCATGGGCAGCCAGTTTTCCATTATTCAGCAAAAGTAAAACCCGCCGAACAGGGAGAGTTCTTTCCCAGTTTGAAAGCTGGGGATGTTTTGGAGAATGTGTTCAAAACGGGCTTCCAGTTCTCTGCATTATTTTCTCAATTTTTCTGTTAGTCTCAAAATGTTCTAAAAAATAAAATCTATTTTTAAAAGGGGGGAGGGAGGCTCCCCAGATGGTTTGTGTGAAAAAAAAAATTTGCCAATCCTAAATTCTTTTAAATATCTTAATCATGCCTCTCTGCAGCCAGAGCTCGTAAGATAGGCAAGAGCGTGTTGGCAGCTGTCACTGTGACTGGTAATGTGACCAATCTGTACCAGCTGCCCAGGACTTCCCCAGTGTGGGCACGGCACGGCGCAGCACAAGCCCTGCCCGGCCCAGGCGCGCGAGGCAGCCGGTCACTCTACCTGTCGGGTAGAGGCCCCAGCCCCACCTCACCGATCCACAGCTCCCAGGTGCCCCTCCACACTGTGCTGCCTCCGCAGTGAAGACTCTGGTGTGGCTTCCCCCACAGCGCTTCCTAGAAGGATCCTGCACGCCCCGAGCCCAGGGCGACCCCGGCTTTTGTGGCTTCGCAGTCACTGGCTCTCCAGCTGCCAAAAACTCGCCCAGGGACTGAGCTGTGCCCAAGATGCTGACCATCCCGCCCAGTGAAAAGCAGCACAGGTGCTGAGGTGGCCTCCAGCTGTTATGGCAATGTGTTCCAAGTGACTTGGGAACCTTCTAGGCCTCACGCCAGCACACTAACAGCCGGGATTAAGTTGATGTGCTTGACCCAGGACGGGCAGGTCAGATTTCCCAAAAGTGCCTGGCTGGCAGGAAGGCAAGGATCCCCATTGGGTGGTCAGACTCAGCTCAGCTTCCCAAACTGACTTGGAGGGAAGTTTTATTTCAAAAGGCAAAGTCAAGAGTGCACACTCTGAAGTCAAACACAGGCTTTCACACTTTTCAGCTGCTGTCATCTTGGGGCAAGAGACTTAACCTCTTTGAATCTTGGTGTTCCACTTCTATAAGTGGAAACAATAGTAGTTCCTATATCTCACAGACCTGTGAGGACTTAAGGAAATAAAGCACAGGAAGTCCTTAACAAGTACCTGACTCCAAAAATAATGCTCTCAATAAATATTCAAGTGATTTAAGACCCACTAGGGTCAGACAGAGCTAGCTGAGTGCCCGTGGCAGGGCCAGACTCCTACAGATAACCAACCTCCCCCTTCTTAGCACATCCGCACATGATAAATTCCTGCAATCTTTACACCCCTCTTTCCGGCCAGCAGCCTTGGCCTCTAGGAGTCCTGCTTGCCTATATACTCCCCTCTGGCCGGGACGTCTCTCCTTCCCAAATGTCTCATCTCTGCTTCCCAAAATCATCCCTCACCACATAGTGACTCATCCTGCCCCCCATCTTTCTGAGACCCACAAACATTTATTCATGCCTACTCCACTCTAAAAAGGATAGCATCTAAAAAACAGCACCCCTAGCTCCAGCACCCCTAGGTACCCCACTAATTTCTCTGTGGCCAATCCTTTCCATTTCCTCCTACTGTTCCCCGCCTCTCCCCTCCATCCTTCTTCCTTCCCTTTAGTAATCTCAGGAACTCCCTCTGGAAATCAGCCTATTTCTTATTACCAAAGGTTAACCCACCCCCGCCTAGGTCTCCTCCCTCCTACCTTCTACCCCTTGTCCAAGTCCTACACTCTTAACTACATGCTCTGCACGGCTCCCCATTTCATTTAATTTTTCCATTCCTGAAAATGAAACTGAGCTCCTACTGTGTGCAAGGCATAGGAGTAGAAGCCAGGAACACAGTGTTGAGCAAAACAAGCAGTCTCTGCCCCCTTAAAAGTAGCAGTTTAGCAACAGACAGAAGTGAAAATAAACAAGATAACTGCAGATAGTGGAGAAGCACTGAATGAAATCAAGAGAAAGATCTGCCAGAAAGGAACTGGACTGAGGAAGTAGGCTAGGTAGGGTGGTCTGGGAAGGCCTTGCCTAGCTGATAAACACAACTATCACCACCCGCCACTACTGACCTCTTTCTCGGCATCACATTACTGAATCCTTGCACAACATCTCCATGTGCAGATGGGAGAGTCAGAGGCTCAGAGAGGTGAAGCAATTTGCCCAAGGTCACACAGCCATTAAGTGGTGGAATCAAGATTAGAATGCAGGTCTAACTACACAGCCACTGTGTGCCCTCCTGCTTCCCAGGACTCCAATTGCCACCTGACCTCCCTCAGAGCTCTACTTCGGATACTCCCTTCTTAAACCTCCTCCCCCAAACGGTTTGTTTTACAATGACTGTCTCTCACTGGGCACTTGAAAGTGCTTCCAGTTTTATGTGCACTCTCTCGTCCAACCTTAAAAACAAGTGTAGGAAACAGGTGCGATCACAAAACCCATTTTACAACCGAGGTCACTTCGGTCTAAATCCACACACTTAAGAGTCCAATCCGGATTAAGTGGGACTCCGGCATCCATACGTCTGATCCCTAAGCTGTTCCACCCAGGACACCTGGTGCCCACCTTGCGCTGTCCCCCCCCCTTACCCCCCAAGAGCGAAGTCCATAAACTAAAACCCATTCCCTTACTTTCCAGAATGGGGTCCTGTGGCTCTGGGAAGCTAAGTGACTTGTCCAAGGTCACACAGTGAGGAGCGACCGGGTCAGGGTTCGAACCCGGGCGCTCGGACTCCGGAGCCCTCGCTCGGAAGCACCATCCATACAGCCTTCGCCCGGTGCCTCTTTCCGCCCTCCATCTCCCAGCGCCCCCGGTCCGGGCTGTGAACCCCCATCCCCGTGCCCAGCCCCGCGGCCTCCCCCCGCTGCCCCCAACACACTCACTTGAGGTGGTCCAAGGAGTGGATGTTGCGGGAGGACTTGCCATGGCCCCCGCCCACCCAGCTCCGCGAGCGGCCAAACATGTCGGCGGTCCCGGCCCGTCGCCGGCCTCACGGTCTCATGCCCGAAGGGCCGAGCGGCAGGGCGCCCTCGGCGGGAGCACAAACCGATCAGGCAGCGGCGGAGGTGGGGAAGGTACCACCAACCACCTTCCTCCCCGGCCCACAGTCCGGCACTGACATTCAGCCGGAACCGGCCGTTCGACCGCGCTTTACGGCCACCATTACGAGGAACGCTGGGAAATGCAGTTCGCCCGCGAGGCCCCTGCAGACAGGACTCCGCGAAGGAACTACAAGGCCCAGGGTGCATCATGGGACTGCGGGCCTGCGGGCTTCCAAAAGAGGCGGAGCCAGAGGCGGAGAGTCCGCAGAGTGCTCCGAGTGGGCGGGAACGGGAAACCTATGGGCGGAGCCAGGGACGGGGACTCGGTAAGGGTGGATGAGAAAAAGCAACCGCGATATTAGCGGTTACTGGCTTTTTGAAAATAATAATAGCTATTCTGTGGTTTATATTATGTGGCACTATCCTAAGTGCTTTACATATTTTTTGTCTAAATCTCAACAATCGTATGGAGTATTATAATTATCCCTATTTTATTATGGAGGAATTTGAATCAGAGAGGGTGACTTGCTAGGGTCCTGCAGTTACTAAGTGGGAGAGCGAGCCTTCAATCCCAGGCACCCTTAGTCCTCAGTAAGTCAAACTGTACAAATGGGCCTTGCCTGTCCTCCCGCTTATCCTCACCCCCCAAACTTTATTTTTAAAATAAACATTAAAAGACCTCTAAGCAACAGTGTACCAAAACCGAACATCCTGTACTTTCATTGAATATTTCTGGTCTTCGCCCAAAATCCAAGCTATTTCCAAAACTACCACCTTAACAAATAATAAACCAAGATGGATCTAAAATTCCCTCAGACATTAGGAATGGGGAACTCTATGGAGGCAAAATTACTCTGCTCACCATTCATTCATTCATTCACATTTATATCTGATAGTTATCAAGGACCTATGCCGTCCTGTTAGCTGTGCGCTGGACAGAATTGGGCCAGATGCCGAGGTGCTCCCCAATGCTTAGCATCAGGCTTGATGCATAATAGGTGTTTAAAAATAGTGACAGAGGGGGGCCCTCCCTGGTGGCGCAACGGGCTAGGACGAAGCACTGCAAGCGAGCCGCAGCTGCCTCAGTGCGAGTTCGATCCCCAGCCCCTGAGGTGACCCACATGGCAGGCAGACCGCTTCCGACCCATCTGCTGCTTCCCTCAGTAGCACACCTAGTCGATCTGCCTGTTCTGCTCTCCACTCTGCCTCTGGTGAATGCTCTCACCACCCCTTCACCTTTGGCTTGTACCCTAGTTCTGTATGAATAAATAAATCTTTTAAAAAATAGTAACGAGGGAATTTAAAATAGTAAGGGAATTTCCTTACCTTCATCAGGTAAGGAAATGGAGCTCAGTAAAGTTAATAGCTTGTCCTAATTCATCTAAAGGAACAATCATTTGGAGAAAAAAGGCAGGTTCTGCTCACCAAACACACTCAGGCCCTGCAGCTTCCAGGATTCCTCCATTTCTCTGGGCCTTGGTTTTCTCATCTGTAAAATGGGACAACATACTACACTGCCCCTTGACGACTTCACTCAAGCATTGGCTGTAAAGCCCCCAGCCCATCTGAGATTTAAGTTTGTTGAACTGCTTTGGAGATGCTTTAGACAAGGTCATTTTCCTGAAGCATGTACTAGGGTTGCCCACGTACAAGGAAAGAGGGGTGGGGTGGTGGGGCAATCAGTGATTGAAAGAGAAATGCGCTTTCCTGTGCCTTTTTGGTTGTATGATGTTTTTAACCACGTGCATTACTAATGTTTTTAGACATGGTTACAAAGCAGAAGAGCTCAAAAGGCAACGCTACTCCTGAAATCTGACCTGCCTGGGAATCTCTTCATTCAGGGGTCCCTAAACTCTACTATGCAGACCCCGCAATGGGCGGACCTTCCTGCAGCCATAATTTGGAGAGATAAAGGGGGCACTGATTGATCTTCCGAAAAAAGGGGCACTTTGGGAAAGTCCGGGATTTTCCCTGGCAAAGCCCACCGTTCCTGTCCCACCTGCCTCTTTTTTCTTCTGTAAACTGTCTCAAAGAGGCTTGGCGTCAAACCCAAAAGTTTGTGCAAAGTACAGAGGAAGCTCGCCGTTGTTTTCAGTATTTGTGGCCGGTTTGAAAGATGCAGGGTCTCTCTCCCCTCCCTCAAAAACCAGCGAATAGTATAGCAGAACCGCGCGGAGGTGCGAACCGGGAAAACAACTCCGAGGCCGGAGCCCCGAGGGGCGGAGCGAGGCGCTAGCCGCCCCCGGACGACTCTGGCCAATGAGCGCGGGGGCTGAGCGGGCCAATGAGCGTGGGAGGGGCGCGGCTGGCCAATGAGCGCGGGACGGGCGCGGCTGGCCAATGAGCGCGAGAGGGGCGCGGCTGGCCAATGAGCGCGGGGCCGCTCGGAGGCGGTGCTCTGAGCTCGCTCAGAAGTGCGACGCGGCGGTCGCAGCCATGGGCGCTCGGCCTGCGGGGACGCGGAGGGGGCTCGAGGGAGGGTCCCGCCGGACTGGAGAGACTACGGCCGGGATTGGCCCTAGCCGCTGAGCCGCGGCAGGGTCCTCGCCGGCCCCGTGAGGGCCAGTGAACGCGAGCCGGGCGCCTCGGAGGGTCTGGGCAGTCGCCGGCCACTTCCAGACCGCCGGGGCCCGCCTGACCGCGGAGGCGATCGAGAGGCCGTGGGGGCACATCGGGGGGTGCCGTCTCCCCACCTGGCACGGGTCGGAGGCCGCCGCACGTACCCGAGAGCACGGTGGGGTTCAGCGCCGCCTCAATCGACCCCCGGGGCGGCCCTGGATGGCTGAGCTGCCCCCTCGCCGGCCGCCCGGGCGCCGCAGCGGCTGAGCTCGCTAGGATCGCCGGGCCGCCGCCGCCCTCGCCACCCGCTGCATGCCCGGCGCCCGGGTCGCGGCCCACCTGGACGCTCTGGGCCCCCTGGCCCCCTACGTGCCGCCGCTGCTGCTGCCCTCTATGTTCTACGTGGGGCTGTTCTTCGTCAATGTGCTGATCTTATACTACGCCTTCCTCATGGAGTACATCGTCCTCAACGTGGGCCTGGTCTTCCTGCCCGAGGACATGGACCAGGCGCTGGTGGACCTCGGCGTGCTCTCCGACCCAGGCTCGGGCCTCTACGAAGCCGACTCAGAGCTTGACGTTTTCGATGGTTACTTGGACTAGCCTTGGCTTCTGGCCCCTTTCCCCCTCTCCTCCCTTCCCGCAACCCCCAGCCTGGACAAGCCACCCAAATCATGCCGCCGCTGCTGTTGGGGAACGCCGTCTGACCAGAGATGGGATCCCCAGGACGAGGCCCTCTCTGGCCTCGCGGCCTGTAAGTGCCCTCTTTCCCTGGGATGAGGGCGGGCTGGGCCCTGGCTGAGAAGGGGGAAGCTGTCCCAGGCTTCCATCCACTTCCAATGCTGTGAGGATGCCAGATAGGCCTAAGCCCCTCTTGGGCACTTTTACGGTCCATACCTATTGCCACAACTTAATGGGAAAAACCTCCCACCCAAATCCTTTTGCTGCAAAGCTGTCAGCTCCTCCCCCGCTTTCAATCTGGCTTGATGGTGACCTTGGCTTTGGGGGGATTCTCCGTAGTCCTAAAAGGATAAAGACTTGGAATGGTAGAAGAAACAAGGAAGCAGGTACTGGTCATCTTTGTCCTTGGGCCCATGGGGGACTGGGTGGGAACCGAGCAAGGCCTCCCAGCCAAGCTGTGACAGGAAAAACCCGTAACCGTACTTCCTTTTGGCCTTGGATTTGCTGCTGTTTTGGAATCGGGTTTCAGGGTGCCCCAGCTGGGCAGTTCTGCAGCTCCAGTCTACAGGAGCTGCCAGTTTCACAGACTGCCTTCTTGGTCCAGGCCAGCTGGGGGTTGGCAGTGAACTGGCTTTGCTGGCAGTGTTGACAAAGCCCCTGGGTCTTCTGGGCTAGTTGAAAAGAGACCCCCAGATCACTGCACTGAGGTGTCCTGCCGCTGGGCTATGATCAGGAAACTTGTGTCTAGTTGGGTGACAGGAAAATGAAGATCCAGGGGGGAGAAAGAGTTGGCCAAAGTCACAGCCAGAAAGTGAGGCAGCTGGATTGGAGGCAGGCAGGCTGTCAGGCAAGGGTCCTCAGGCATCAGGACCCCCTCAGCTGAACCTTTAGCTGGGCCATGCTGGAGGGCACCGCTGGAGCTCAAGTGGTTACAGGGCTGCTCAGTGAGGTGGTGGGCATGGGCTCCCTTTGGGAAATGATCACTGATCACCTCACCTCATGCAGGCTTCACCAGCCTATGCTGTTGCCAGCCTTTGCCAAGTTTGCCACAGTCAGGGTGATGCAGGACAGGACTTGCTGGCCATAGCTTTGGGATCCGGGAGCTTCACCCAGGAGTTGACAGTGAGATTTCTTTGCACAAGGCTCTATTTGAGCTCAGCTCTGTCTCGCAAGAGCTCGGTTCCGGGAGAGCGTCAGCTGCTCTGCACTCAGCCCAGCCTGCCTGCCTCCATCGATTTGCTTATTGAACAAATGATGGCTGAGGACTGATTATGAACAAAACAGACTAAGCCCTGGCCTCTTGGCACCTGGAGAGAAAGGCAGATTCCCAGACAGGAGCATCTGACTTGTGAGTACAAGGAAGGTGGGGGGGGACTCAGGCACCCCCTTGGGGACCACTGCTTCCTCTGCACTTGGGATGACACCAGGCATCTAGTAGGTACCTGAGAGATGCTGGATGAGCATGGAGAAGGGCTGCCTTAGACTGGGGGCTCAGCAAAGGCCCCCTATGAAGATGATGCACTTGAGCTAAGCCCCAAACTGGTAGGGCCAGATGTGAAGATATGGAGAGAAGCAGTTAGGCCCAGGGAGCCCCTGGGCTGGAGAGAATTGGTTCTTTCAGCACCCAAAAAGAGACCGGAAAGGCCCCAGGAGAGGTCAGGGGTGCTGGCCAGGGCAGATCACAGTGGCGGGGGGGGGGTGGGAGGGTGGGGAGCGTTTGAAGCCTGTGAGGCCACAGCTGTGAGCAAAAGAAAGTCATCAGAAGGTTTCGGATGGAGAACACGCCAGTCCAAGTCACCGCTTATGAAGATCACTTTGGTGGCTGTGGGCAGAATGGGCTGCAGGGCAAGCTCAGGAGCAGGCAGGCAGGTAGGCAGGCTGTCCAGTTGCTCAGGCCAGAGCGGAGGGAAGCTTAGAGGCCACAAGGCTGATGGAGAGACAGGAACAGGCCAAGGACACCTTTGGGTGGTAGCGCCTGTGGGGCCACGGGAAACCTCCACTGAATTTCGAGCAGATACCACGCCTGGTTCCAGGCCTGTGCATATTCACTCACTCAGTCATTTAACAAACATTGGCCACCCCCGCTCTTCTGCCAGGCCCTGGGATCCCAGGATGCATCTCTGCCCCCAAGTCAGCACTTGGCTTTCAGACAGTACAAGGTGGCAAAGAATGTCTTATTTTATCTCTTCACTGTATCAACAGAAACAGTTTCTCTTCCAAATGAAAATATTGGCACATTCCAACGAAAAACTAAGTCCAAATGCTTCCCCGTACTTTGTAGCAAAAGCTGTTCTAGCAGAAGCACCAGGAAGGGCTTCTCAGGGACCCTTTGGCAAAGCTTTGAGTGGTAGGGCCTGCCCCCCTGCTCTGGAAGGCAGGGCCCTGGGCCTTTAGCCTGAGACATTCCAGAGGCTCCCACAGCTGTCCCTCCTCCCCACTCCCCAGCCTAAAAAAGGCAGCGTGGCCCTCCCAAGAAGCAGGGAAGCCCAGACGGGCCTGGGGTGCATAGTAGCCACATAACTCATCTCCAGTGCTGTTGTGCACCCTCTTAAGGAAGCAGTATCCGGGTGATGACTAGGAGCAAGAGCCCAAGGTTCAAATGACCGAGGCTGATCCTAGCCTGGACCTTGGGCATGCTGTGTCCAGCCCTGGGCATCGCTCGCTTATCTATAAAACGGAGCTAACACAGTCTGCCTCCCTGCAAACAGTGAATGAGATGCATGCCAAGCTCTTAGACCTCCGGTGGCTGGTAAGTGATAGCTTAATATTAATCGCTCTTATCATGAACTGTCAAGTCTAATGGGCAGTGTACACTTAGGCTATGTGAATGCGTAAACCCGCACTCACTCCTTGCATGAATATTCATACCCCACGATGAGCAAAAGAGGACTGGCCGCCTGCCTCTGGGAGGGTCTAGATCTGGGACCCACTTCCCACTTGGCCCTCCTGGTCGGGGCCCTTGCCAGACCTTTCTCACTCCCCTGTGGTCTTCAAAGGCCCCTGGCTCTGGAGTCCTGGAGTTTTCCTGGCGGTTTAACCTTCTCAGGAGCAGGGAATTGGGGATTGGGTGCTCCCTCCTTCCCTGGAGGGCTCCCGCTGGCCTGGGAGCCCGGGAACGTCCTGCGTCCCAGCAGTTCCCAGCAGTTCCGCAAGACCAGTGCCCGTGCCAGTGCGAGGCAGCTCAGCTGGATCGATTTGTCCCGGTTCCTGAAGAAAGCAGCTGCTGCCTGCCAGCCTCTCAGCAGCACCACCGAGGGAGGGCTGTGAGCGGGGAGCCACACTGCGGGAGCCACGCTGGGGGATTTGCTGCAGAGTTGGTGTGCTGGCGCCACTCACCAGAGTTGGTGAAGGGAAGCCAGGCCTCTGAGGGCACCACAGCTGCTCCCCAGGACCCGCCCCCATCCCTCCAGGCCTGTCTGCGGCCTTTGCCATCCACAGCACCTCCCTAGGTGTTGACTTACAGCCCTGCACAGCTATTCAAGCCTTCTAGGGGGACAGGGTCATCCACACCAGAGACAGGTGGCCAGGTGCACCCCAGGCCAGGCTGACTCCCACCTCTGTCCTGAGGCAAACTCCCACAGAAGAGTGCCAGCCACAGGATGCATTGATGCCAGCCACCAGCCTGGAGGGGGACGATACCAGTATCTGTCCCAAGACAGCTGAATACTGGGTCTGACTCTCTTGGCCCCAAGTTATGCAAACTGGAGATTTCATCCAGGGGACCCCTCACAGCCTTGTGTCTGTTCTCTTGAATAAGAAATCGAGGGCACTTCTCAACAGGCCCATTTGTATTCCTGGTTCACCTGATGCCTTTCCCTCTTGGGGCTTCGGGAAGCACAGTCTGCTCTGGGGAAACAAGGGTCACAAAGGGGCCGACATCTTTATCTGGTCTCGCAAATAAATAAGCCGAAGCCCAGGGAAGTGATGGGCCAAAGTCACACCAAAATAAGACAGCTGGCCCTCTGGCCCCCAGTTCTGAGGTGCTGGAGGGGTGTGTTCGGGAGGGGGGGGCCCTCCAGAGAGAGCACCCCAACACCCTGCCAACTTTAGAGCACCACTCATGGCATCTACCAGGCCTGCTTCCTATGCACATGGCTTCTCGCTAACTGTATTTTGCAATAATTTTGCAGTTATAGAGAAGTTGCCAGAACAATGTAACCACCCAAGGTCACCAGCTGCAGCAAGTAACACTTGCCACTGTCGCGGGCATGGACTCCGCGTGCTCACGTGCAGACATGTACTCAGACATGCAGCTGCTTCCCTGAGGCCCTGTAGATACCTCACAGACAGCGGCTCCTTCAATTCCTAAAGACGCCCGTGTGTGCTTCCTCAGAACTAGGACATTCATTCACACGACATGGGCTCGATTATCTGAATCAGCAGCTTTAACATTGGTACATCCCTCTGCCCAATCTGGTCTAGGGCGGTTTCAGCCATTGTCCCAGTGGCCACTGTCCCCAGTGAAGAGGGCTGGGGAGGATAGGGGAGTTGGGGCCCAGGACCAACCCCAAGTCCCGTGACCTTGGTAGTCACGTGACCTCAGCAGTTTTCCGTCTGTCTTTCCTGACATTGGCATTTTGAAGGGACACACGTCTGGTACTTTGTAGACCGCCCTCAGCTGGGTGTGCCTGACATCGGCCAAGGTAGCGTGTTCCCGGCAGGAGTGTCCACACAGGCGTCCTGCTCCCACCCCCGCGGGTGCTGACTGGCCCCAACTCGGGCAGCATCTCGCCAAGTCTCCCCACCGGAAAGCTTCTCTTCCGTAGAGCTCGTAGCTTATGATTAAGTCCACTAGCATTGATGCTCTGGGGTCTTTTCCATCTTCATTTTCCTGTAAATTGATATTTAAAAGGATGTCTAGGTCACTGAGAGGCAAAGCAGCATCCCTCGGTGTGGCTCCAAGTAGTAAGTGCCAACGCCGTTAACTTGTGGCGGGACACTGCAGGCGGCTGCAGCCGTGGGCCTCTGGCCTGCTCTTGGTTAACACGGTGGGTGGGCACCCACGGGCCGTCGTCAGGGATGAGGAAACGCTCGCTCGCTGTCACTGGGCCTCGCACGAGGCTAGCCCACATGGCCCCAAGGCCACTGCTCAGAGGCTTAGTGCTCAAGGCAGACTTGGATTTAAACCGCAGCTCCACCGACAACGTGGGCGGGTCAGCGCCTCCCCTGTATAGCGGGGGGACGGCAGCGCCAGCCCTGGCCCTGCAGAAGGCTGGTTACAGTGGATGCAGTGCAGGCCCGCACCTTACCCCAGAGGGGGCTCAGGCCCAGGAAGCCCTCCCCTTTCCTCAGGCCCCTTCCCTAGTGAGGCCCAAAGACAATTGCCCAAGGGTGGTGTTAACTCAGCGGCAAGATCTGTGAGGCCCAAGCCCACCTTGGCTGTGAGGCTGCCTTCCCGGCCTGGGTGGGCTTCAATGCCCCCCACACACACATCCATGGGAGGCTTCATTCCTGGGACTCTTCCTGGCAGGACCTGACTGGGTGGTTAAAAATAACTGCCTCACCCACATCCGCAAGCTTCTCCTGGCATCACCCCGAGGGTGCGCCCAGGTCTCATTAGCTCCATTACACAGGGAGGTAAACTGAGGCTTGAGGTGGTTGACGCCCCAGCTACCCAGGTATGGGGTGACAAGTTGGACCTCCTCGCCCCTGAGTCAGGGATCCTCTGTCACTGGTGTCCCCAGGAGGCCTGGACAAGGAGCTGGGCCCCAGCAGGCGGTTGCCCTTCCCACCGGCGACTTGGGGGTGGGGGAGGGGGTGCCTTGCCTGGCTAGAGATAACAGTTACATTTTCAATTTATTTTTGGCATTGCCTTCTGTTTATGACAAATAATACTGTTTTTTAGTCACGCTAATGACGTAAAAGTTCCTTTTAAAAAATTGGAGTTTAAAAAAAAAAATGTTGACTTAAAACGCTAAGTAAATAATAGTCCGGCAGTTCCTGGAAGCGGCAAGACTCATGAAGTCGTCTGGCCTCTCGTGGTCCCTGGCACGGACCCATGGAGGCAGTTTCGGCCCGAGAATCTTCCACAGAACCACAGCTGATAAATCCGAGTCCAGCTTTGTGAAACCTGTCCTCATTTCTCCAGAACGCTGGTGTGCACCAGCCCAAGGGCCCAGCCAGGCCGCCGTCAGCAGGACAGGTGGAGGCCTCTGCTCAGCCCCAGAACTGGGCTCGCAGGAGACGTGGAGGAGCAGAGCGCCGTTCCTCAGGAGACCCCAGCCCTGCGGGGGCCCTGCCTGCTGTGGTTTCCAGTGGGGTGGAGCCACACACCGACACCGTGTGCGCTGGGGGCCCGGACACAATTTCATCTGTCCACTGCTCACGGCCCATGAGAGAGATGCCATCGTCCCTGCTTCAGATGAGCAAACAGGCCCAAACCCTCCATGGTTTCAGAACAGAGAGGGGAAAGCTGATGGCTAAGGAATTGTCTGCCTGTTCTCGTGGTTAGAAGAGAAGGCGCTTCCTTGAATTCTCTGAGCTGCTGTTCCAGGAGTCTTTTCAGCCCGGGTTCTGATGCCATGGAGAGAGCAATCTGAGCCGAGTGCAGTGAAGACTGAGGTGCAAATCCTGTCCCCGCCATCTGTGAGCTCTGGCCTCGCTCAGCTCACTTAACCTCTGAGCCCCATCTGAGCTGCAGGCTATCGCCTGACTGGGCCCCACCTCAGGGGGTGGTTTTGAGCAGTGAGTGCGCTGACGAGGGAGTTAAAGCGCACAGAGCCAGGGGAGCATCAAATGCTGAGAAGCCACACCTGCTGTCGAGGTTCTCGTGGGGTGGGAGCTGCTGAGGGGCCGCACTTGCCAGTCAGGGGGCCGAAGGGCTGAGCTCTGGTAGTCACAGCTGTTGCCCAGTTGAGAGGCCCCAAGACATCCTTCGCCTGTGGCTAGAGGGACCTGGGGCCACATCTGTGTCTTCAACTTGCTGTGTGACTTTGGGCAGGTCATTACCGTCTCTGGGCCCCTTCATCATCAACTTTTTGTTCCTATCTGAACTCTCATTCGTCATTGTTTTCTCTAAGCTGACTTACTTTTTAGTGTGAAATACAGGTCTTGAAAAGAAAGGCACTTTCTATGGCCATCATAAATGGAAGACTGCTGCCATGTGCCCTAAATAGCTGACCCCACAGACTGAAAGCGGAAGGCAGCGGCGACTTCCAGCTGGAGCCTGTTCAGAGGGGAGATTAGCGCCTGCAGAGAGGCTTGGCCAGACCAGCGCTTTTCTGGGACTCTTCCCTCTGAAGTCACAGGACTCGGGAGGCACGTCCTTGGCATCTGACCCCAGCCACACACGCTTGAAATGCACTCAAGAACAACCAGGCCTTGGGGGAGGAGGCGGTGAACCTGGGGGTGGGGTGCCTCTGAGTACATAATCCCGTCCCAGGTTCCTGGACACCTCGGCTCTCAGGAGCACCCCTGCCCACCCCACAGGGAGCCCCAGAGGCTCCTGGGGGGGCAGCAGAAGGTGGACTCTTGGAGGGGAGGGAACCTGTGAGCACTCTTCAAGGGGCGAGCTGTCGGATGGTCTCACTACTGCCCGTGTGCCCGCTCACCTGCCAGGGCCGTGGGAGGCTGCTTGGGGCGGAGGACAGGAGCGCCAGTTGGTGCGTCCAGTGGGAGCCAGGGAAGGTCTCTGAGCAGGCTGGATGTATTCACTGGCCTCGAGAAGGTGAACCTAGCAGAGGGGACAAGAAGCTTGACTGGCTCAGCCCCACTCTCTCTTCCCACTGCCTGCCGGCCAGTCCCGCCCCCAGCCCAAACCAAGCTTCAGGCCATTCCAAGCCCCGCCCCCACCTGGAGGGTCCTTCCCCCGCCCCCCCAGGGTCCTTCCGCACAGCCTTCTCCAGGCTCCCTGGCGTCAGGTGTGCGCCTTTGAGCTGAAATCCTCACTGGACGGTGCACCAGGAGGCAGGGGCTGCACTTGGCGCGCAGGTGCGGTGGAGACTGGTGTTCCCGGGCTCCCGTGGACAATGCCCTGGAGAGCTGAGCGCTGCTGCTGAGTCACTCACCCTCTCTGGACCTTGGGTTCTTCATCTGTGAAACTGAATCAGTGATTTGTAACCCCTGCTGCTAGGAGCTTGATGAGATGACCTGAGTCGTGTTCCATCCGGGATCACTGCAGGGAGCAGAGCCTGGGTGGGGACTCGGGTGTGGGTGGTCCACGTGGGAGGTGTGCCCTGCAATGACGTGGGCGGGAGGGGGGGGGCGGTAAGTCAGGGAAGGGGTGTGTTCTGGAGCCGGCCACCACTGCAGCGCAGGCTCAGCCCTGCTCAGCCTATTCGGGCCAGTGTAGACGGCGAATAGGCTGCAGGGCAAGGAGCTGGGACCTGGTCCACCCTCTTTCTGGCCGCACAGTGGGGGGCGTGACCTGAGCTCCCCCTGCATCTGCAGCTGGGGGCCAGGCGGGCTCAGGAAGAAAACAGAGCTTTGGGCAAAGGGGCAGTACCCTGCAGGTGGAAGCTGCCAGATCTGCGTGCCCAGAAGCGTGGAGGGGGCAGGGTGAGTCACCCCAACCTCTGCCTCCAGCTCAGACACATGGTTTAAGGGTAGGAAGTGGCAGCTGCCCAGTGGTGATCATCCCAGGGGTGCCAGGCCAGTGCCAGCCTGCCTGCCACACACGCGCCTCTCCAAGCAGAGCACTTGGCTCGGTTTCTTAGCCTGGAAAATAGGGCAGTGCATGGGTTTCAGTGGACACAGGGGTGCTGCCCCTTACGTGGCCCTTGGAGATGTGACAGGCACTGAGGACAGGGACCAGGGATGCTGCCAGTGGCCCCCACCTCAGAGGCATGTCCTGCTGCAAACATCCCGGCACTGATGAACAATCCGTGCCGCGTGTTTCACCTAAGTTTTATTTGATGCCGATGATGTTTGTGGAAGGAGTCATCTGAGCTGACAGAGATGGGACTCAGACCTGGGCCAGGATGAGGCGGGCTGTGAGGAGTGGACATGGGGATGTGGACAGCTGCGGCCACCTAGCTCTGGCTGGACACAGGAGAAAGGGATGGGACGTGAGGCCCACGCAGGGCGAGGCAGTGGGCACAAGGCCGCCCCGGCCGGCAAGCAGCTACGGCTTCCTATAGGCTGCGGGACATTTGCTGCAGGCCTGGGCTGCCTAGCCCTAGCCACTTCCACAGTTTGCTCAGCTGCCCTGCGGTTCAAGTCTGCCGGCGGACAGGGTCACCCTGGTGGGCTGGGCTGTCCTGCCTTAAGCACCAGGACCTCCAGTAAGGTCCTTGATCGCTTCTCCAGCCCAGGGTCCTTAGAAAAAGTGGGCAAATTCATTATAAAAGATTCTTAAGAAAATGCATGGGCCTAATATTGGGGCTTCTGTGGGTTCCCCAAATACAAGAGATGGACCAAGGCCCCCTGCTCTGCCCAAGACTGGAGGCCTGGGGAGTGGGCCTCCACGTGGAGGGCAGGGGAGGGGGCAGCCTGGTTCTTCCCTGCTGGTAACGTCCCTTCTTGCCTCTCTGCAGGCCAGTGCTCCTCAAAAGCTTCGTGCCAACAGAAAAGTTTCTGTCCGGACCTGAGTGCCGAGGCCGGACAGGCTTCTGCCCCTGCCAGGGAGTCTGAAGACTTGACCTGCCTGCAGCGTTGCCCAAATGGCCTGGCCTTTGCTCATGACCTTGGCAGTGGCAATGGATGTTTACAGGAACCCAGCCAGAGTTTGCCTCCCCGCTCAGCACCCCCGACTGCCTGCTTCCCCCATTTCACCTATGGAGAGGACACTGCAAGCCGAGGACACACACAGAAGTCACCCCCAGCTCTGTCTGCTGCCCGGGGAGCCTGGGCCCGGTGGGGCTTGGCCCAAGGCGGCTCTCAGATGCCACCGCTGTGTCAGGGAGTGACTCCGGAGGAAAAGCCGCGGAGGAACGTGCCGGGGCGAGGGAGGGTGTTGACGTCTACATTTCAGGCTGCTGCTCTTCATCAAGTTGCCAGAATTGATCCTTCAGTCCAGGGAGCACCCAAGGGCGCCCCTGCCAGAAGTACTTTTTGAAAAGTGTGAGTGGTGTGAATACTTGATTTCAACAAACCGATAAAAGCAATACTTGGGAGGCTGACTTCTTTCAATTAAAGCATATGCAACTCCAAGTGCCGGAGGGCTGGCTTTTCATTTCTTTTTAATTTGAGGTTCGGAAAAGGGGTCTTTAAGCAGAACCCCATGGTTGACAAAGGCAGCGAGACAGGGCTGCCCCAAGTGGGATCCAGGGGGTCTGGAGACGTCCCCCCCCCGGCTGGGCTGGCGTGGGTGTCCGGATCAGCCTCCTCCCCGAGCCTGCAAGCCTGACAAGCCAGGGCCAGCCCCGGGTGTGGTGGCCAGGCCAGGTGGGCCCGAATCGCCGACGAGGCAGAGTACGGTAGCCGTGCTCTGGGCATGCGGTGGCCCCACGCAGGGGGAGGGCAACGAGGGAAGGAACAAATGAGCGAAATTGTGTCCACTTGTGGTTTTGTGGAAGCAAGTAAAGCAGAGGATTCCCTGCAGTTTGCAGCCACTCGATGTTTCCACACCCCCGCACACTCACGCAGGACACGGCTCCAGCCTCAGGCGAGGAGCGGGCCCAGCGGGCGGCAGGGAGGACGGTCACAGGCCACTGGCATCCCAGTGGATCTCGACGGGGTGTTGTGAAAGGTGAGCAGAAGACGTTCGAGAGTCCGGAGGAAAAAGGCGGGCGTGAGAAGGGAGACATTCCGTGGGGAAGGACCACGGGGAAAGGTGTGTGGACTGGAAATCCACCGAACGTGACATCTTGTCAACACAGAGTGTGACTCTGGGCATCAGGAGCCGGGGCTCCCCGAGCTTCACTTCTCCCCCAAGCACATCTGGGCCGGGAGCAGTGCCAGCGCCAGTGTCTGCCTCCAGAGGCACCCTCGAAATAAAAGGTCAAATTTGCATCTTGAGTCCCCCCCACACACACACAGGACTGTGGCCTCGGGCAAGTCAGCTCTGAAGTGGGGACAATAATTTACCAGCAGGCTAGGACCTAGGACAGCAGAAGTAATGCCTCTGGGCAGACACTGCCAGTGTCTAGGCCGCCAGTGGCAAGCAGGGCCCAGGTTGGGTTGCAGCTCTCAGCCCCCGCCCGCCATGCTCATGTTCGGGTGTCTTTGTGCGGGGCACGCTGCCCAGCCTCCCCTGACAGCCCCACCCGGAGAGATGTTTGCACTCACTAGCATGCAAGCTTCGCCTGCAAGGCCCAGCAGCCACTCTGTACTCCCAGCCTATTGCGGACTGAATAAAGCACAGTAGTGAGGATCATCCACTCATGCCACAAACATTTATTGAGCAGCGATTGTGCAGGCGGCTTGCTGGGCAGAGAGCGCAGCAGCGAGCACTGCAGGCAGGTGAGCTGAGTGTCTCTCCCGGGCGCCACGCCTTCGGGAACAGGCAGCACAAGGAGGAAGTATGACCAGGATAAACCGCAACGGGGTTAGAGAGAGGGGGCGGGCGGGGTCTGCGTTTCCTGGGGTGGCCTTGTGGACCTCCAGGGGCTGTCGTGAAGGACGGGAAGTTGGCCATTGGAGAGCTGGGAAGGACAGTCCAGGCAGAGACACAGACGTACGTGACCAGCAATGCTAACTTACTGAGCGCATGCAGGTGCCAGTTCTTGGGGTGTTAGCTCATTGGCCCTCCACGTAACCCCATGAGGAGGGCACTGTGATCTTGCCCATTTTACACCCGGGAAGACTGAGGCACAGAGAAGTCCACAGTAAGTGGTGAGCTGGTGTGGACCCCGGTGGTCCAGCTCTTGGATCGCACCGCTGACCCCAGGTGGTCCCTCTTGGGCAGGAGGAACTTAGCATCGCGCCGCAGTGACCATCCTGCGGGGCCTTGCGAGGCACGTCCTACGTCCCTGCGCTAGGGCACGCGTTCGGTGTGCCAGCTTACGGGTCAGGAACGCTGCCACTGCACCATCACTGGCCGGTCCTAGCCCCTTCTGGCATCCAACCTCATTTTGTCATCCCTGTACAGACATGGCAGTGGGTGCCCGGTGCCTGCCCTGCCAGGCTGATGGCACAGTAGAGGCCTGTTTCAGAAGCTAGGTGACTTGGTGCTCGCCCATGGGCTCCACAAACCCATAAATGTGGAACATTGAAATACCACTTAAATGCCATTTAAAGCCCATGGTCACAGCACCGATGCCCTTGGCAGCGAGGCCAAGGCGGAAGGCACCCCCTTCCCGCAAGGGCTGCCACCAGGCTGCTGGCTGGACCCCGCACTCCCAGCTCCCATCTGCTGGAAGGAGAATTTGGCTCCCGAGAGCTGAACAGAGGGCGCCCACTGCCTCCAGGAGAAAGTGCAGTTGTCCCAGACCGGGGTTCCGAGGAGCCGGCCGGGCCCCAGCACGGAGCAGCAGCTGACCCGACACAGCAGCTGCGAGGACAGCAAAGCCCCCACGCCCACGTGGCCCAGCGGCGCCAGCTCTGGGACTCGGCCCTGGGGGGCGGGGGGGCGCCCGTAGCAGAGGAAAACAGCCCCCCACGAGGCCTCCAGGGCCTCAATCTCCCTGATCCCCAAACAATGAATTTTCCACGGAGCCTCGGGAGACCATGCAGCAAATCCCTTCCAAAAGGCAGGGCTTGGACTGAGGAACATTCAGCCATGTGTGTGCGTGCACACGCCCGCAGGGGTGGCGGGGACAGAGGGCTATCACACCAAGGAGAGAACAGAAATAATGCTGTGTGGCCTCTGGGGCTATCAGACCAAGGAGAGAGCAGAAATAATGCTGTGTGACCT